GGCCTCTCTACCTCAGCACCAAGAACACCATCCTGAAGAAGTACGACGGTCGCTTCAAAGACATCTTCCAGGAAATTTACGAGAAGTAAGGACTTTAAACTCCACAGAAACACGTGCAAATTAGCTCTCACTCTGTCTCGCTCTCTTTTACAACTGCGATCACACACACTTTTATACCAGATGTAGATCACCACTTAGAGGTGTTGTCCCCATCTTTATGTGTCCAGGGAATACCGTGCTCAGTATGAGGCCAAAGGCATCTGGTATGAGCACCGTCTGATAGATGACATGGTGGCCCAGGCCATGAAATCTGAGGGAGGCTTCATTTGGGCCTGCAAGAACTATGATGGAGATGTACAGTCTGACTCTGTGGCTCAAGGTTGGTAGAGACAACTGTACCATCATGTGAAGAGCTATATGTAGAAACATTCCTTATAATCTGACCCCTGCAAAACTGCATTGTCATAATATAGATTGCTAATTTTGCTGTCTCAGGTTCAAACACTTTCAGTTGTTGATGTGGTTTTGTGTGACCCTGTTTCAGGCTACGGCTCCCTGGGTATGATGACTAGTGTGCTGATCTGTCCCGATGGACGCACAGTGGAGTCTGAGGCTGCCCATGGCACAGTGACGCGCCACTACAGACAGCACCAGCAGGGAAAAGAGACCTCCACCAACCCCATAGGTAAAACACGATGCATAGACATTTAGCAACCCAACATGACCCCAAAAAAACATAATAATATGACGTGTAATATACTGTGTATGAATTAATCAACTAAATTGTGTCCTTCCGCTGGGCGTTTGTGTGCTACAGCCTCCATCTTTGCATGGACGCGAGGCCTACTGCACCGTGCAAAGCTGGACAACAACACAGAGCTGCGGGTGTTCTCTGAGGCACTGGAGGCCGTCTGCATCGAGACCATCGAGGCTGGATTCATGACCAAGGATCTGGCTATCTGCATCAAAGGCCTGCCAAAGTTAGTATCTCCTTTATCGAACACTCACTGCATGTTTCTGCATCAGGTGCTACAGTGTTCCTGCTGTAGACGACTACGGCATGAGTACTGATTGATTGCTGAGTGTAGGATTTAACTTCACTGTACCACTATCTTACTCACATCTCAGTCAGTTACAATCAGTTCTTCTCACTTGAATGCTGAAAGAGGTGTTTGTGATAAAGGTAGCTTCTCCTCCTCCCCACTACATGCTCTCAATGTCCAGTCTTATTGTTTTTTATACTTTTCATCCAGGCTTAGCTGGCAGCATTCTCAGATACTGTTGTTTATGAACCCATTCCAAAGTAAATTTTAAGTATACTCAACCCTTTCTCCTCTCTTCCTGTTTGCAGTGTGACACGTGCCGACTATTTGAATACCTTTGAATTCCTCGACAAGCTGGGAGAGAACCTGAAGATTAAGCTAGCCAGCCCGCCCAAACTGTGATCTCACCCCGCAGACTCAGCAGTTAAACACAGACACACACACACATTCAAACACATACTCATGCACAGAGACAGCTATACAGATACTGGAATTACCACTGAAGCAGGGGGGAGTAAGCCCACGACCCCACGAGATCCACAACTGAAACCAAGTCATTTCCTGACCGGGGGGTCTGATCACGCTGGGTGCCTTGTCTGGAAGAAAGGAGAATGGAGGATTCTGATCAGTGTGGACCATCAGCCCTGTTAATGCATCACTAGCAGACAGCCATAAACCGTCTCCAGGTCTGACACTGGGCCAACGACCTGACTGCTCAGTGACCTTGTTTACCCTAATTGCACTAGGTCCCCTGAAGTGAGTGTGGTGTGTGGTGTGTGTTTTCAGTATTTGTTGGTGATCTGTGCTAGCCAGGGGACACAATCTGTCTGAGGGACCCTCACTGCCTTATTCATTTTGTGTCAAAGTCATCAGTCGATTCTGGTCATCTCCTTGTAATGTTTAAACAATGCCTCCAGCAACGTTGTCTGTTTTAGAGCCACAGTGGTAGTTTAAAACCACAGCACCTGCTCCCACTCATAAAACCTCTCAGCAAGTTTTATTGTCGAGCAGCACGAAACACATAACATATGGACTATAGCATCCAAACAATGGTTCTGACTCTTCTTACACATATTGTTAACAAATGTAATCAAGACTACAATACGTAGCTTTTAGATTTCTGATTAACTCCACTAGTCACAGTTGTTTAAGAGGTGTATTTATATGTCCTTCCTTTGTACGTGTGTGTATTAACATCCAATGTTGGCTTATCATGTCCTGCCAAAAATGTGCATTAAATAGTCTTGGTTTGTAATCAGCATTAAGTCCTAATATGATAACTCATAATAAATGAGTTTTTGAAGAAACATGGGTGTTCTTTGAGCGGAGCTGGATTCATTTTATCCCCTTCAGTTTTAATAATACAGCTGAAATAAAAAATCTGGGGTTTATCATAAAGTGTGTGCTCATTTAGGGCTGGAGATAACTATCAATCTGCTGATTGTGTCTCAATTCAATTCAATTTGTATAGCGCCAATTCACAA